AGGATCATACATTCCCACATGTACACACAAATACCATTATATAATACACGATACACTATAATTAACATTGCAGCTTGCTAATGTGAGATCATTATATTCATAATGATCTTGTATTCATTTAAAATATGCATAATTCCATTGATATTTGGGTTAAGACTGTGTAACTCTTGCAGGTATGCAGCACTATTTAAATATTCCAACAATACAAAAGTGAAGATTACTACTGTGGAACCCACTAGTGAAATTTTATTTGGATTCAGAGGAATCAGCACAGATTTTGCCACAGACCCACACCTGACACAATAGACTCCTAACTGGAAACCAATTGCCTGTGTGTAATGTCCTATCAAAGCCACATCACATTGCTCTTTGTAGCCCACAAGCTTTTAGAATCCATACACTCCCCTTTATATTTAAAAATATAACTCTTCAAATTGAATTCATTTTTATTATGCAGTTGCAAAAAAAAATCCCCACCGTAGTTCTCTGTACCATAAAGATTGTTGTTTTATACATTTTAGGTCACAGTGATACATAAAACTTTGTTTTTAATTTTGAATGTAACTATCCTGTATAGCTGGTACCTGTACTTTTTGATGTAATAGATAATCCTGCATCAAGGGTGCTCAAAATTATTTCCAAAGCCTGATTTTGCAGGGAATACCTAAGATAAATTCACATTTATGTCTACCGTACTGCCAAGTAGGCGGGGACATGGGTGGCACATCAGGTTAAACTGTTGAGTCACTGGGGTGTTGATTGAAAGGTCAGCAGTTCAACTCCATGTGGCAGGGTGAGCACCTGCTACTTTGTACCAGCTCTTGCCTACCTGCCAATTCAAAATACAAATGCAAGTAGATAAATGGGTACCACTTCTGTGGAAAAGGTAACAGCATTCCATGTGGCTTGGTGTTTAGTCATGCCGGCCACATGACCACAGAAGTGTCTTCAGAAAACCCTGGTTCTTCAGCTTACAAATGGAGATGAACACCAGCCCCAGAGTCAGACACTACTACCATGCATATGCAGAGGAACTTTTACCTTTACTGGAAAGTAGTAGAAATAACAGGCATTCAGAGCTTGCTGATATCCTTTTGGAGGTTTCATTGAGCCACTTCACAGAACAATCTACCATGAAGAGTGGCTGAGTTGCATGAACCCCCAACAAGAAGTCTCCTACATACTGACCTGAAAGTTGCGAACTTTTAAAGATGCAAATGTGCTTTTGTGAACTTTACTGTAATAATTGAGAGAGGTGAGTCCAGCAAAGCTTAACACAGGTTGTACCAACCTAACCGTAATGCCATATGAGGAAGAACCCATGAGATGAACACGGGTGCACTTACACACTGCCAAGCACCCGGAAGTGACATTAATGGATGCTCTTCAGTGTTGTTATAAGCATATTACAGTACAGTACTATGTGGCCAATTGGATACCAGGATACCTAGGCTAACTTTGTTGGACTTATGAACATGCTCTCAGAATGGAACTCGTTTATATATAGGGGACTTCCTGTATGGTTTCTTCAGGATGATTTATTTTACACGAAGAAGCCACCCTTAGAATCCATGGTTTGTTTTAGGGTTGTTCATAGTGTGGTTTCTTGTGTTGTCCAAAACCAGCAAAGTGATTTTATTATGATTTATTCCTCTACAAAAGAGAAAGATGAAGACAGTGTTTTAGGGAAGCCAAATGACTAGCCATGAATAGATATCCATAAAGATTTTATCAAGAGATGATTTAAAGTGGAAGACAAATCATGTGTTAGAAAAAAATAGCTTAGCAGAAATGTACATTGGCTCTTATAAAATATTACAGAAGTAAAATTCAAGGTCAGGGATGATGATAACAAATTTATGGATAATGGTATGGAAGAGAGTTTCCTTATCTGTTATAAGACAATGCCCATAGCTCCAATGTTGGATTGAAACTGACCTCCATCTTGAGGTCTGACCTTTGGAAATCCATATTTAATGCTAAGACAACATAAATACAATCTAAGCCAGCTGTTGGGTTTGAGTATTCCAAACATTTATCCTAGAACAGGATTTTTTTCCAGTTCTCATTTTCATTGCTTCTATCAGTTTTCAGGCTTTCTTTTTATTTCTTTCAGCTGGAATGCTCTGTTTCAACATTTGCTATGATTTCATGATATTGGTAACATTTCCACTGTAGAATTGTTTCAACTACAGGAGACAGGCAGAATGGTTGATGCTTATGTATGTATCTTTTTATGCAGTATATTTCTTTAAACCCTATACAACAGAGCCTCCCTCTAGTCTCAGCTCAGGGTGCGGGGGAATCTAACTGACAATATATGGCTTGCAGAAAACAGAATGCTCCCATACTTCCATTACTATATCAATGTTTTTGGTTAATCTAGAGAGTCTAGAGAAGGTGATACGTATTTTTGGGAGAGCTGATACTAAAAGCTATGTCCTGTGATGAATTAGATCCATTGCAATACACATGTGCACTTTCCAGACTACCTGTAAAACATCTTTATATAGGAATCTATTTCTTTGCTTAATTGTATTTTGGATATTGAAAATCCTGTTCTATTCATGGGAAGGCCATCTTAAAATAGGAAGTCCATAGCCCCATATGTATGACTTGGGATGAAGCATCCAGGTGGTTGTGTGCAGGGAATAACATAATATTTAAATCTTTATATTCTGTCAACAAATGATTTGAGAGTTGTTGCATCCTTGATTTGATAATGAAACAGTGCAACATTATTTTAAATCTTAAACATCATTTCATTAGATGTACATATATTTCCCTGCATGAGAAAAATATGTTATACGTCAAGAAACTCCATAGGTTTTAAGTGAAGTGTGCTTTTTGTCCCAAATACTAATAAAATATGGATCTATGGAAGAGCTAGAAGACTTGAATTAGATTTACTGATGTAGATGCTTCAGGCTGTTGGGAGACTCTAATAGACTTTAATGCATTGGTAACACCTGAGTCAGCTTTGTAGCACTTTTCTTTTTTTCCTTTAACAATGATAAGGGAGACAATTCTAAAATGTTAGCTTTGGGTTTTGGATTTATTTATTTACTCAGCATTATTCAGTTTTCTTCTGATGACCTGATAATATCAGAATTTCCAATCCACGGTAATTATAGGAAATAGGTAAGAATATATGTAAATAATGAAAAAGATGATACAGAGGTATTGTGCATACTGGCAACAGTTTGTAATGCATATAATACCGTATTCCAGAAATGGGGAAAAACATTCTAGCATAGCTATACCTAAGCAAAAGATACATCGCTGATAGCAAGTAAGCAGAGTTTTGGTAGCATAATATGAAAGTGTCAGAAATGACATTATGAACTGTAGAACAGAAGGGCTGAAGAAATCATATAAGCAGTCTGTTCAACAGACTGCTTTGAGAGTTGTGAGATGCTATAGTCGCAGGAGTTAGGTCTTTACTAGAGATGATCAAATTAGACTGTTTTTATCTTTGTCAGTTCCACAAGTGTTCATTGATATGACTGTTTTGTATCAATTCTGCTTTAAACTGCTTAGCCTTTGCAAAACCTACACAAAAATAGTGTGGATTTTATCCTAAAATAAAGAGTTTACAGGCATTTTGTAGTAAACTATGCATTTTCATAGGCATTTTGTGGTAAAAAGGGCACTTTACATGCATTTTATATGCATTTTGGTCCTTTTTCAAAAATGAAAACTGATCAACAAATTCAGAGAAGTGTGCAATCAGAAGGATAACTGCATTCTGATCTAGATGTTAGTGGGAGGTGCAAATTTGGTCAGCTCACTTCCAAAGGCAGGTCAATTTAAATCCTCAAGCATCCTTGGCTTTATCGCTGTTTTATCCAAATGAGCATCTTTTGTGGAGGTTGGTGGTTTAAATTTCCCATCCCACATCCCTGTAGAAGCTGCCCAGTGTATTCTTGCATTCTTATCAAAAGACGAAACTGATCCAAGTTTATTCAAGGGCAACATTGCAAAGTATTCTAGTGACCTGATGAGAGGCACTTCAGTCATGTCTTCAGAAAAGACTGCCTTATCACCTCAGCTGAATGATGTATAATCAGCTCTAGTCAAGGTTAGTTTGCCTGAGTTGCATGTGTCCCAGTTAGGGTATATCTGAAGATCCAGTCAAACCTTACAGTTTGCATAGATTTCCCCAGTATACCTCTCTGTCACATTCCATCCCCCATCAAACCTAGTAAATGAATTCACTAATCTTTTCTTGAAAATGTGCTAAAAGGATTTCCATAGATGGTCTTTGGAGAGTTCTTGTGTCCTCATGTGTGTAATAGTTTGGGTCAAGAATCTAAGAGGGAGCGAGGAAAGAATGAAATTTCATTATATATACATGCTTTCCAACTAGTCATTGAAAAAAATTGATGGAAAAAGAAATTATGCAATACAGATGATGTCAGAGTTTAAATTAAATTAAGATCATATGTTTTACTGTGGCAGCTGTAATCCTTTGCTTACAGAAGAGGTCACATTAATAGACTGTATTCTAAATGAATATTAACAAATCACTTTTGTACAAAGATAATTAGAAGTACATGCAATATATCTGTATACAACAGCTTTTTTTTCAAGATTACCCTTCTTTTAAATTATATTCATCATAGTTAATTCCTTTAGACTATTATAAACCAAACATTCGCATAGTACCAATGCTATGAGACTGTGAATTTGAATGAATGATGGCATATGTAGGTATAGATAATGCCATATAAGTATGCACAACTGGTAAATTCTGTAAATTACTTTGTTAACCATAATCCAATCATCTGATTCCCTAATATGTTAGAATACTGATAATTTTTATTAAATCAGGAATGTTATGTGAATGTATAATGTTTGCAGTGAAGTAAAACATACGTGCAGATACTTTCAAATGAATATTGCTGTCAACAAAAGCAGACCATATTTGTCCCATAATGTGGAGAAAATGTTTCAAAGCAGAAATAGTTAACATGATTTTATTTTCCTTTGTCTTTTAGAAGTTAAATGCTTACCTGGAAATATCCAAAATACTGGGAGACTATGTTGGTTTAGGGAGAGCATATCAAGCTATAGCCCAGATCTTGGTAAGGTAGGTTACCACATCCTTATCTTGCTGTCACTGTAAATCCACTCAAGTGTGAAAGACTGAAATTGTTAGATGTCTGGTGCTTCCTGACTGCTTGTATTTTAAGCAATGCCCTTCTCTCCCATAAGTGACCTTTTAATCATAAGTTATTTAAATTAGAATGTTTTACTAGGTTTACTGTCAAAATCTTTCTTTGTAAATGGTACATTTTTACAGTATTAAATAGAATTAGAAATTGTGTTTTTTGTTTTTGCTTTTCAGATAAGTTATGACATAGCTCAAAAACAGACTTCAGATAATATCTTGCAGGTTAAAAATAGGAAGCACAGAAAATTACAGCATGCTTCAATAAGCATGTCTCAATGTAACCTTTCTAAAAGTCTTAGAAACTCATTTATTGTTTGTTCTTGCTGACTTTTTCTAAAAGAGAGATTTCTGCAAATATAATTCAGGTTCATAATTCAAAACTTTATACCATGAAAATGTCTGTTACGGAAAGAATCAGAACACACACTGGGATAAATCCAAACTTAGACATAATTAGTCCCATTGATTTCAGCATGATTTAAGTTTGGCCAAGTTTGGATCCAATCCTCTGAAACTTGGTGGGAAATCATTGTTACAAACAAATGTTTTTGTCAATAGATTGAGGTGATTCATTTGTACTGATTTCCAATATTAAATTATGTTTATTCATTCCAATTCAGAGTTCTGTGTGTTCTCTAAAATGCATAGCATCCACCATTTGTTTTAGTAAAAGTGCTGAACTGAAAATGCAAAGGAATATATGTGTGGATCAGCTTTCTCTGCTGAAATGCATGGAAAAGCTTTTGTTTGTGGAAAGTCCATTCTGTGTATTCCAGTTCCCCAGTGCATTAGCAATCAGTATTCAGAGTTCAGGGAAATTGTACATTTATTTAAAATTCTATACTGCCCTTCAATATCTGAGCAATTTACAAAATTGTAATTGTCACTTCAATGCACTGTTGCAATATTTACTCTGAATCCTCAGAATTTCACTTGCAAGAAAATCGGAAACCTACAAAAAGGAAATATCTAATTGGTTCTTGGCAGACAATGTTTTGTTTTCCACTTGGAAAGATATTGAAAATTTTATCCTAATGAGACTTGTTTAAATAATCCCTATATCTTTAGTACCTTTAGATTTCCATCACAGAAAGCAATAATGATAATGCTGGTATTCATTGATCAGTGTTATTTGTTATTTTTACTAATTTTCCACTTAGGACTACTCTGAGGAGCAGGAACACTATAGGATATACATTAGAATTGAATTCAGAGGCTGTAGAACAAGCTATATCTTGACATCAATTGCATAGCCATTTATAAACACTGCTGACTCAGAGCCCATAATATTTCTTCAATATTAGACTATTGATGGGCTGTTGGCCAAATTCTTTTGCTTTTAGAAGTTGTGAAAGTAGAGGTAATAAAGGATGAGCACATGGCAGAAAATGGCACCTTCTTTTTAAACTGAGATTGCTTTGGCAACATCCGTTTTAAGGTATCATCTAGCATCTGAGGAGATGAATTGTGAAAGTCTACTATTTGGACATTGATTGAACTACTGCTTTCTGAAACTAGTATTTCTTCTTGAAATCAGACATTTCTGTTTTCGTTGTCAAGAGAGAATAGGTTTGTAGAATATAATCCCAATTTTCAGGTTCATGCACAACAGAATCTTGTAACTTCCAATAGCTAAAATACATTTGCTACCTTCATCTGAAAAGCTTTACTTTTAGAGTGTGTGACAGAAATGATCCACCTTCATTGAAGACAGCAAACCCTTAATGTCATTGTTCAGGGAGTTTAGAGTTGTTGGAAGGAAGCAAGCTAAAAGCAATGACATGCAGAGATGCAGTGGGGAGCCTCCTCCTGTGGTCTGCAGTTTTGCCAGATCACTACATAAAATTCAGTCACAGCCAATGTGGAGATGAGGCAGCGTTACTCCTTTCCCAACAGAGGCTGACTAGAGGGCGGCAGGGTTAGGCAATGAATTTTGCAGAGCTGCAACAGAGACTCCTTTGGGAGTGGGTATGTAGAGCTCCCAGGAGCCTTTAATTACAAATTAATGTTTCTCTGCATAATTACAGATCTTTCATGGCAGAAAAATTTGGGAATTGCTATTATTTACCATCAATTTGTACCCAAGATATCATCATGCTCTCAGCAAAGTATTTCTTCAATACAAGTGTAGTTGTTGTCTTATCTGTTAACTGTCAAACAATTGTCTTTAAAAATAAATAACTATTATTTTGAATGAATGCCAGCATACCCTGTGTGTTAACTGTGTGTTTGCTACCATCTACAGATTATATATCATCTCAGTTCATTTCAGAGTGACTTAAAGGAGAGCCATGTACAGAACTCATCAAAATAAATGAGGAAAGCATACTACAATGCCTAGACAGTTGTACCTATTGCCTATAGCTCATTCTGTGTACTTCATTCTGTAGAAATAAGTGAGAGGGCTGCAGGCAGTTGGGTACTGGATTGCAATAATTGTGATCTGGGCCACATCTTAACTTGAGTGCCATGCCAATTTGCCATGATTTTTGTTTTGCCTTGCTGACTACATTCTCAATAATATGTGGAGGCCAGATTGGACTTAAATTCCAGTTTCACATTCTAATAATATTCTTGATCCCTTACCAAGACATCAGGCATTTGTGTCAGAGATGGCTCTGTTTCAGGTCACATGATCAAACATAAGCCATTGCTGAGCTGTGAGGTAGGTGACCATTTTGAATATTCATAGTTTGTTTTAGGATTATATGAGGTGTGTTTGATGATCACAGAACCCAGAAGCACTGAGTTCAGGCAACCCAACAAACCATGGTCACAGCCTGAATATTTAAATGCCACCTGGCACACATTGCAATCCCTGGTGCAAGCCAGGGCATTATTTGACCTGTGGTAGATCCATCTGTCTTAGCAATTAGGGTGATCTAAAGGTTTGTTAAAAAAGGTCAAAGAGGAATAGTATAAGAAGTTGCACTGCTTTTCCAGTCTAATTAATAGACGTTTGCCTTAGTTTCCATATGTTCTATTTCTGTAAAGCTAACAGTGATTCAACAAAAAATGATATTTCATGTATATTGACAGGACAGAGGCTTGTTAAAAAGAAGCTGGCTTGCTCTGCTAGATGATGATGATGTTGTAATGAGGACAAAATGCTTCACTGAGTCATGTGATATGGCCATGTCCTATTGTGACTTCCTTTTGGTTGGAAGTTACTGCTTGCATAAATTTTGTTTTTGAAAAATCTGTGGCAATAGCAGATGTACCTAATCTTTTAAATTAAGTTCTTGTGATATAGGGAATAACAGATGGACAGCAAAACTGGATACTGAGGACCCTTACAGTTACAAGGGGTCATATATGTCAGGCTTGGCAGGAAAAACATCGACCATTATAACTAAAAGAACTGAAAATCTTCCTGCTTTTCTACATTTGAGTTCATTCCTTATAACCACTGTATAGATGCCTATTTTATATAAATGGACTTGCTTATGTTAATGTATATATTTGAAATGGAAGTGTTTAATACTTCTTTTCTCCTTTTTGTGTTTTTACTCTTTTTTCTGAGTGATATTATTGTATATGGATACATTTTATGATACGAAACCTCCATCATTTGTGCTCTTTCCTAATGTTCTTACTGTTGTTATGGCTGTGCTGCAAATACAAATATATTTAAACTGTAAATATCAGTAAGAATATCAATAAGAATCCAGATATTATTTTTAGGAGAAATGACAGTGTAAATATTGCTGTTATATATGCCCAAACCTCGCAGCCATAGTGTGACAACTGCTCAGATGTTATAAATAGTGAAGAGGGGTTTTGTGGGGGTGGAGGCTGATCCATAGAGCAAAGGAGAGTCATACTCCCATATTGGAAGCAAGTAGAAGTCCACATTTGTAAAATAAAATTATTCATATATGGATACATATACGTAACAATAGTTGAAGATAACAGATAGTAACTACAGTATTCTGAAGTGGGGGTTCATATTTTGCTTAAAATATGGTTCCAGATGCAGATTTTGTTTAGCTGTATATATAAAATAAAACTAATTGCTAATCAAAAGAACAAATACCAGTTTTTCTAGACTAAGTACAAGTTAATCTGATAGCAACGTTTGTTTAGGGTTTGTACCCCGCATAATCATTTTACAGACATTTTCAGTCTTGTTTTAATCTTATAGAGTTTTTGTCTCATGACAGAAATAAAACAATGTCTTGGCATATTGCCTTTTTATTATAGTTCAAATTAATTGTTTCTTCCTTTTTCTTTGTGCCATCTAGTAACTTTCTTGTTTCATAAATGAAATGCAGGATCTTGCCATACAATATCAAAAATAACCAAAACTACATATAAAACATTTCTATTAATTCATTACAATAACCTTTTTACATTTTATCCTGTCACTGATTCCATTTGACTTATTACTTTCAGCCTCTAACCTACAAACTTGGTGGTACAATCAACAAACCCCTCAGTGGCTGTTTCATCTCTGCTCTATTTGATTTCTCCACTCTGAGTAAATGATTAAGATTTCATGCATTGGTTCAACCAAAATCTATGTTCACTCAACCACATCCTTTATTGATTACTTCTACTGCAAACAGTAGGCCAAGTGTGATATACATAATTGGACAGTTGTCAGGGGATGTGGGTGTTAACAGTCCTGTTTTCCCAGTTGGAAACTGGAATCACCTTGATACACAAATATTCTGCACAGTTTCATTCTCATTCTTTGGACCGAGGAGTACTTTTCCCTCAGAATATATGTTTTTAACTCTCTAAGGTCTGGTTGAATGAATTTAATGATTATACAATATAATATGCTGTTCAAGTTGCACCTGTGCACTGCATATAGAAAAACTAGAAAAACTGGAATTAATATTTGTCTAACATTTTAACCTTGTCCGTTAACTTATATAAATCAGTTCAGTTCTACTGTGCAGAAATGTTTGATTTTCTTCCCTTTGAAAGAAAAATGGGCTTAAATATATGACTATTATTTTCAACTTTAGACACCTTGTGACATGTGATAAATACTTGGAAGATTTTACGTTCTCATAATATTTGATTACTGTCTTTTCTGAATTGTAATAAAAATGACCCCTCAGACTGATCAGCAGAATTTTGCTGTAAAATGTGTAAACAATCTAGTTTTAATCTTCAGATTGTTTTAGGCTTCAGTTCTGAAACTTCTGAATATATTTGCATAGGATTCTGCTTTTAGCACTTAGGGTGTAATCCTAAGTATGATCGGATAGAAAAAGTTCTGTAACCCCCAGCATGCTCCAAGCAGGGTTGTTGATGTACTGCAGTTCCTGTGATAGTATCCATACAGTTTGCACATATGGACCCATGTTTTGTATTCCCTACGTGAAATTAGAGATTAGCTTGCTGTATCTTGGGAGTTATATTTCATGTGCATATTTAGCATTTTATATCTTAAAGTTCAGTCTTATGTTGAATGAAATTAACTTGAAGCTTGTTCTTTAAAATATTAAGAAAAGTATTTCCTTTGTCATTACATGTAAACTTTCATTTCTTCACATTTCTGTATTAGACCTCGAGGTTGTGGCTCACTGGTGGCTTGACATTTAGTTTTCTGCACTACCACATTAGACACTCAGGTTCACAGCTAATATTAAGGTCACCAACCATGACACAGTCTCAGAAAGAGAAAGTGTGTGATGTTTTACTCACAAACAACCTTGAATATCTGACCATGTGTTGTAATGGTAGTGTGGAAATGTTTTGTTGTTAATATAGTTTGCTTTATTAAAAAATGTGCAAATGTCTTATCAATGTGCATTGGCCAATATTCAGCTTAGATTTCTTAATGACCTCAGGTTGTGGATATTGAATTGGGAATTAGAGGTGACACCTGCAATCCAGTGCAGATCTGGTAGGTAGCATGACTTCAGCAACCCTCGACTTACCCAGATAAAGAGCAGTAATTACATCTTGAAGGAGACCATGTTTATGAATTTCAGCCTTCATAGTGTGTAGTAGTTGCTGTGGTCTATGATTTTTCTCCACATCAACTAAAAATGCAAGTTACAGAAGTTTATTTTACAAAGTTAGAGAAACAATGTGAGCAATGGACCCTCTGCTATAATCAATCATAGTACAATGCATTTGAACATGAAATTTATAATGGTTTTCTTCTTAGTCAGGGAGAAGTAGCTGAAGCTATTGAATACTTGGAAAAGTTCATGAATATTGCCAAGAGAGTTCAGCTGAGCCAAAGCCTTGTGCATGTATGTACGTTCTTAGGAAACATTTACAATGAAAGAGTAAGTATCAGTTTGAGAAGTGAAATCTTAGCTAAAGTTAAGCTTGAATCTGTATTCATATGATATGATGCTGAACATTTGTACCAACATACGTCTGCAGTTTCAACATTCCATTAGTGTCTTACTGTGGTAACAAGTAATCAGAAGGGAAAGACAGCCGATAAAGATCATGGAATCAAACTATTAAATATTCTTTCTTGTTCCATTCTGGTGCAGATTCAGCTATCACTACAACCACTCTGTAGTGAGCAGAATGGCTGTTCCCTCCAGCTGCCAGTTACATTAAATGGCAGCCTTAAAATTACAGCAGCTTTAAAACATCCTGCTTGCTGGTTTCTAGCCTTTGAAGAGGCCAAAGTACAGAAACCTGAAAAATTATTTTTATGTGCTCATGATTCACTTTCCTTGGGCCTAACGAGTATACTTCAACATCAAGGGTTTTGCGCTCGCTTGCTTGCTTGCTTGTGTAATGAATTTTTTATTCAGAATTGTAGCTCCAGTACATGTTGAACAGAGACATTAAAATAATGGTTCAGATATTGTTACCATTTTATCTAGCTTTTTCATTGACTTATTAAGTTGGAAGAGACCTTGAAGATAAATCTAATCCAACGTTGTTCAAGTTTGGTTCAACTCTGCTGAGCTGGATTTCAGATATTTCATTTTAGTTTATTTGAAGATCTACCCCAAAATTAGGAAAACCAGTATGCATAAGAACTGAATCAACCTAATACATTGGTACCTTGGGTCACGAATGCCTTGGGTCATGAACAAAAATTTCATGAAAATTTTGACTTGAGTCATGAACTCCGCTTTGGGTGGCGACCAAGATCGCAGCCATCTCCCCACCCCCGCAAGTGGGGAGATGGCCACGATCGCAGTCCCGTTCATGCAGGGAACATATGCGTGATCATGGCTGTGCTGTTCTGTGCCCGTCTTTCCTGCAGGAGCGCACCCGTGATCAGGCACGTCTTCCCTGCAGGAACGCAACTGCAATCCTGGCCATCTCCCCACTCGGGGCGGGGGGGAGATGGCTGCGATCGTGCAGGTTGGGGGTGGGGGGGAGATGGCCGAGATTGCGCCCATCTTTCCTGCAGGAGCGTGCCCATGCCAGGGTTTCTTTGAGAAGCACCACCCCAACATAAATGTAATGAACAGAGTGTTGAATCTGCTGAACAATAACGTGGTCTCTCATTTCCAAAGGGTTATGCAGCGCAGGAAAGAACAAGTGACTATAGACAGATTTTTCACCAAAATTGACCCTGTAGCTAAGAGACAATGAGCGGAAAACCCTGAAAGAGAGCTCCCCAATGTCCTTATAGAGGAGAACCCTCCCTCAAAACAATAATCTCCCCCCGACCTAGGTTAGTTTTCTCCACTGTACTGTACAGTACTTTGTTACTCTTTGTACTTTGTTGCTCTTTGTCACTTTGTTTCAATTTTTTGAAACTATTAAAAAAAATAGTTACAGAATGGATTACCCTTATTTACATTGAACCTTATGGGGAAATTTGACTTGGCTTGCTACCAAAAACTGGCTCACAACCACATTTGGAGGGGCCAGAATGGATTAACCTTATTTACAATGAATCTTATGGGGAAATTTGACTTGGGTAACAACCAATTTGGGTCACAACCAGAGTCGTGCAACGGATTAAGTTCGTGAGCCAAGATACCACTGTATAGATATCCAGTCTTAATGTATGTGGGCAGGTGGAGAACCAGTAGTTGTTGATTGATGATTGTTAATTATTGTTTATAAATTAAACCGTTCTTTATTAATCATTGTTCATTAATTATTTTTTCTGATTGCTCATTAAACTATGGCACTTGTATATATATATATTGCATATATTATGAGAAAGTGTAGACAAGCCAGGCTCCCTGGCATACACAACTTGTATTGTTCCCATAGTAGTAACTGTGAATTAGTTGCACAGCTGTACTGTTTTTGCATATGTACAGACAAGGTCCACATCACCAAGCTGCTGCATACCCTTGGGCATTGCACTGATGAATGCCCCTGCAACCACCTCTTCCTTGTGCTTGCTGCTGCCACTCACCTCTTCGCTGTGTCAGTGACCACCTCCATCCGCCTCCCCTGCCTCCCCTTCCTCCAGTAGCTTCTTTCCTCCACTATCCTGCCCCCACTCCTCCTCTTCTCACCTTTCCACTCTGTAAAAAGGTGCCTCCATTCATGCTAGGGAGAGCAGGGGAACTAGGGAAAGTAGCATTCAGGCTGAGGGGGGTCATGGGTCAAGAAAACAAGGATTTAGAAATGATCTAGAGAAGGGGAGTTTGGACAGAGTGAATGAAAGAGAGTGGATGAGGGATTTCAGTGAGGAGTGAGTATGCATGATGAGGGGTATGAGCGAGAAGGGGGTGGGGGATGGATGGATGGAAGGAAGGACAGTTGTGGTTGCATGCGTATGAAAGAAAGGCTGTGTGTGTGTGTGTGTGTGTGGTGATCCAGGATGAGAGAGAGAAAAAGATGGGGAGTGGAATGAGTTGACTAGCAGAGGGATTTGCCTAATGGATAATATATTTCTGCTGGTAAAGAAAACAGGGTTTTAAAGTGTTGTTTTGTTAGTTGAGGCTCAAACCCCACATGTTTTGTACTTAATCATTTAAGCAGATTATTTGTCTTTGCAATTTGCTGTGCCACACATGCATTCCTGACATCCACTTTGTAGTGGTGCCCTTAACAGTTTCTCAGATTTAAATATTTGCCCATGGGTCTCAAAATGTTGGAAACTTCTATAATAATTATTCAATTACTATCTTTTTCCCCATGAAAGTCTGGTTTGAATAAAAAGTATGATACACTGCTTCTAGAAGACACACAGGACTAGGCTTTGCTAGATCTCTTGGTGTGAAAAAGTATACTGTCAGGAAAGTCAGCATGGGAGAGAGGTTGCACTTGCTTTCAGGAACTGCTTTTGAATGGAGGAGAATGGCTTCATCCCATTGGAGGAAGGAGAACAGCATTCAAGCTGCACCACTGCCTTCTCTCCCTGCCCCCTTCGCCATTTTTTTTTTTAAAAAATTGTGAGTAGGCAAAAGGAACTATCAGTCCCCACCTTTTAAAAACTCTTGACACATTTGCTCCTTCACATTTGCACGTACCTTAATAGATGGAGAAAAAACTTTTTTAAAGGGCCATTTCCCTACACACACACCTTTCCAGTCCATCCTACTTTTTCCCACAGTTGCATTTGCTTGTGACACAAAATTGCATGTTCAACACAATGGAAATTGTACTGTATTCACCAGCATAAATACTGCAAAAGCATTCCCTGGGAAATGGAAGAGTGGTCCCCCCACCCCCAAGATATTTGTAACTATAGGCCTCCTAATTTTGCAAGAGGTAGAAAGAGGCGGTGCCACCAGCATTTTTCCTCTTTCCATCCTTGGGAGATAGGAGGTTATTGCACAGGGATAGTTACCTCTTTGTGTTCCACTACTTCTAGTTTCTGCTATTTAATGATCTTTTCATTGTACACGTTAGGAAACTCAAACAGCAAGATAAAGTGGTATAATGAAGGGTATATTATTGAGTGCATCTCTTGGTTAGTTTATCAGCCACAAACTCTTAAAGACTTCATGTGAAGAAAAGTAGGAATGCTGAAATACATGTGCTGGAATGTATATATCTTTTATTTTATCAGGGGAACTACCACAAAGCTAGTGAATACTTCGATCAGGCATTTGAAGCGGCAAATGCTCTTTCTGATTTGGCTTTAGTGAATGAAACAAAGGTATATTGTGGCATTGGAAAAGCTCATAACATGATGCTGAAAGTTAACAGTCATACAGAAGCTACGGATCAAGTCAGCATCAAGTACCTGCTGGGCTGGAAGGAGAACAGAAGTGACATGTGCGCTGACCCTTTTACAGTTGGTAAGACACTAGTTATGAAACGCATTAGTGTTGTATTGTCCTTATGGTTAAGTCATTTTTCTTGTATAGTTTTATTAAATTATTTGCTACTGGATTACTCTTGGCCTGTGCTGAGGTAAGCTTGCAACTGGGTGAGTTTTTTCAATGTGCTAAATAGCTTTATTTAAAATAAAATAAAATAAATTGATATCTTTGCTATAATCTCTAACATGCCCTTTTAAAGATTGCAATATTAAAATTAGAAGTTCTGTTTAAGTTGACATTTTAAAAAATCAGTTATAAGTAAAATATAAGAAACTTTCATTTATTATGATCCTATAATAATTTTGTTTGCATCCCTAGCTTGGTAAATATAATCCCATTAACTCAAAGTATTTGGTAGGCATGCCTATATAGCACACATCAGAAGAGAAAATTGAAAAAGAGCTTTTTCTAATTAATTCTGTGGAAAGCCAGAGGGTCCAGGTTTTTCATCAGTATGCCTGAACTTAATGCAGCAAATCTGGCATCATGTGCTACAGTCCTTTTTTGTTACATGTAGCGGGTCACATTCTTACAGACACGCATAAGCAGTGTATAAAATCAGTTGTGAATCTCAGCTAAACTATAGGTATTTATCTGTTTGGTCAGGACAGGGGGGAATGAATTCTTTGCAGAAGTTTTGTGAACTGCCCAGAGAGCTTCAGCTAGTGGGTGGTAAAGGCATGTGATAATTAAATAAACGTTTCTAAAAACATCATGTTCGGAGAAAGTGTTTCTTAGGGACTTTACTCAGGAAGAATGATTGTGAAATAGTTTCTGCATACATGCTAGACATATAAACTGGAACATGCACTGAATTGATGAGGCTGTGTTGTTACAGACCCAATTTCCTAACAGAAGACCAAGTATGAAAGACCCCCTAAACCTTGAATACTAGAACATGCAAAATTGTTAAGGGTACATAGATTAAGTGACCTCCTCCAAAGCAGTTTCTGTGGCATACTGTACAGATTGGGAATGGGTCTGTCTTATTGTTCTGTTAAGTTTTACCCTTTCAACTGGGAACTCAATATAATTAAGCCAAAAAGTAGTACTATTGACATTCACTCTGTAGTGCCCAAAAGCTGTATAAATATTAAGCACTTTTGATACCACACTCTTCCATTAAGCAATTTTAGTTAGATAGCAAGATAGAAAGATCTAAAGGCATTATTTGTAACTTACCTTCATAACTGATGGTGCTAACTGTGGCAGTAGATCAACACATGCCACCAAATCATGAGAGTGTACCTGCATAACTGGTGCAGTGGTGCAGGTTGCAACATTATGCTGACAAATAAACAACTTTCTAAGTTATTAGTGTGCTAGCTCATATGGCCAGGCCTTAAGAAATGGAAGAACACACATAATATCTCTTGGTTTGTTCAAGGCCTGCAAAATCTCTCATAGCTCTTCATTCCTTCATTTGATACTAGAAAAGCCATAGTTTTATATAGAATCATATAAATAATATGATAACAAAAGAATAATAATGTTTCTATACCCTTCCAATTCAAAGGGGTGGCTTCTTTCATATATGGAAGATAATGCTTTAAGAAAACTGTAGTTCTTAGCAACAATTTAATACTGATCTTTGAAATTAATTTGGATTTTCTTCTGAATTCAAAAAATCTAGGAAGCTAACTTGAGACTTCAAAGACCAGACATATGTGTAATAATTAAGCATCTAGCAAAAGTCAAGGTGTTGAGGGTAACATTTTATATGGGAAACAATAATGCCGTTTCACACAAACTGCTTTCTGTATGGAATAGCAACCATGCAATCCAAATTTAGGATAACCTCCATCCCATTATATTAATGTAGGTGGAGGTCATGCAGCAAAATGTTATTGCATACTCTAAGAAGAGTGTTCATGGCTTCTACCAACATTTTGAGGCTTGCAGGGAAAGGGGAGGTTTAAAAGAGAGAAAAGTAAAATGTATAGCTTTATTCCTTTCCTGTCCTCCTGAAACTTTCCCCACACTTCCATAGGGTGAAGAAGTGTTTGCCAAAATAACGCACAAAATTTTTACTGAAGAAAAAAAACTATAAACTAAACTAATATAAACAGTTTGCAAATCAAAGATGTGCCCCCCATCTGCTTGTCATTTGTATTTTGCATATCCTATGTAATTTAGTTTCATTTTCTGCCATGCTCAGTTTTTTGTGACTAAACAGTATTTCCTCACATTATAAATTCTGTAAACAGCTTACATGAATTCACATCATGCCTTTATTCAATTCAATGTACATTAGTTAAACATAACCTAGGAATGAATTCCTGTTATAGAACATATATAGAAGATATACATGTAAAGAAGCTTTCCAAAATCAAATAGTAAATTTTTATTGACTCTCCTTGGCTGTATTTATTTATTTATTGTTACATTGATAAACTGCCAAACAGATCAAATGAGCTACTTAGGCAACATAGAACAATAAAATAAAACAATCTCCAAAATGACAGAATTATCTCAGTTCGAATCCAAGGCAAACCATTCAACATCACAGTAGTCCAAGTCTGTGCCCCAACCACTGGTGCTGAAGAGGCTGAAGTTGACCGGTTCTATGAAGGCCTACAACACCTTTCAGAATTAACACCAAAAAATGATGTACTTATCATCATGGGGGATTGGAATGCTAAAGTAGGAAGCCAAAAGATAACTGGAATAGCAGGCAAGTTTGGCCTTGGAATACAAAATGAAGCAGGGCACAGGCTAGTAGAATTTTGTCAAAAGAATATGATGGTCATAGCAAACACTCTTTTCCAACAACCCAAGAGATGACTCTACACATGGACATCACCAGACGGTCAACACAGAAATCAAATTGACTATGTGCTCTGCAGCCAAAGATGGAGAAGCTCTATGCAGTCAGTAGAAACTAGACCAGGAGCTGACTGTGGCTCAGATCATGAGCTTCTCGTTGCAAAATGTAGGCTTAAATTGAAGAAAGTAGGGAAAAGCACTAGGCCACTCAGGTATGACCTAAATCATATCCCTGATGAATATACAGTAGAGGTGACTAATAGAATTAAGGAATTAGATCTGATAGACAGAGTGCGTGACGAACTATGGACAGAGGTTTGCAACATTGTACAAGAGGTAGCAACTAAAACCATCCCAAAGAAAAAGAAATGCAAGAAAGTAAAATGGCTGTCTAAGGAAGCTTTACAAATAGCTGAGGAAAGAAGGGAAGCGAAAGGTAAGGGAGAAAGAGAAAGATACACCCAATGGAATGCAGAATTCCAGAGAATAGCTAGAAGAGATAAGAATGCCTTCTTAAATGAACAGTGCAAAGAAATAGAAGAAAACAATAGAAAAGGGGAGACCAGAGAGCTCTTCAAGAAAATTGGAAATGTGAAGGGAAAGTTTCATGCAGATGGGCATGATAAAGGACCAAAATGGCAGGGACCTAACAGAGGCAGAAGAGATTAAGAAAAGGTGGCAAGATTACACAGAAGAACTATACAAGAAAGAGCTTAATGTCCCTGATAACCACAGTGGGGTGGTCACTGACCTCGAGCTAGACATCCTGGAATGTGAAGTCAAGTGGACCTTAGGAAGTCTGAGTGACAACAAAGCTAGTAGAGGTGACAGTATTCCAGCTGAGCTATTCAATATCTTAAAAGACGATGCAGTAAAAGTGCTATACTCAATATGCCAGCAAATTTGGAAAACCCAAGCCTACTTGCACATGTGGTGTCTCAAAGGCATACCTAAAAGTAAAAGTAGCCGTTTTGGACATAAGTAAAATTCCAAAAGTTTTATTAGTGCGTTAATTAGGCCAGCTGTGAGATCTCCAGCTCTCTTTATCAGGCCAGGTGTTATAAAAATCAGAGATAGTGCAGACCAACAAAGCAAAACAAAACATGGTGCTTCATGTCTTAAGATGTATCTGTTCATTTAGAAGTCCCATAAATAGCTGGTTTATTATATGTATCATGTCTTCTGAAAGTGCTTCTGAAGAACTGTCCATGCTGAATCTAGAGGGTCATGTCAATTTAACTAGGAGTCCATTTTGTGAGTAAGACAGGCCTCCCTTTCAGACAACAGCATCAATGTGCTATAAACATACAGTTTTCTTAAACTGGCTCAGTAGACATTTTGGCCAGCAGAAAAAAAGAGAAAAGAAGTAAATGTTATGGGGATAAAGAATTACTTTAATTCAAAATCATTTCTATTATTCTACCCTGTATTTAATTAATAACTAGTTGTATAATTAAGTGTACTCTGTAATGTGGCATTTAATGGCACTTTTATGGGGAAATCTGCAAACAGTTCTCATTTTTTTGTCTTAATTGCAATTTATGCCCCTTTTGCTAGTTTTCAGATAAGCATTAAAACATCACCTAAACCTATTTTATACTTTTCAATTAAATACTTTGTCTCTTTAGATTGGCATACATTTTTAAAGTTGCCTTTATCTTCTTACATAATTCATTTATAACTTTGTCTTTACATAGTGGATCATTAACACATATTTTTAATAGTTTTATGCCCTCTGAACTTTTTGGCACTATACACTAAAGGTAGGAAGCAGAAAATAATCACTTCTTCACCCCACCCTCAGCCTCTGAGTACTGCTTTGTAACCAACAAGAAAAGTCAGCTAGGGGCTGCATCTGGCTCTGGTTGAACCCAGAACCAAAGTGGGCAGAATCAGGGCTTAAAGTTAGCATATCAGCCCTCTCTTCTATCTGCAACCTCCTTTTCTTTTGCTTTCTGCTGCTTTCCTTCTTTTTTACCTACTTACTTGTCTCTTTCTGTCACCCTTTTCCTGTTACCTCTTCTGAGTCAGGGTGAGCCCTACCAATTGCCTGCCACTTTCCATACTTTTCCAAGGAAGATTACCTTTCAAAATACACTGAGGTGCACCCCTCTCCACCCGAGAAGGAGCCTTTTGTAAGCAAAAGGTCTGATCTGTAGTTTCAAAACTCTGTTCTTCCACCCCAAACAGGGAGAAAACTCTCCTCTCCA